AAGCTCTGAAAAATCAATTGAATTTTAAGGCTGATTAGAGTATTCAGAATGAGGCGTTGAGTTTTATGGAAATTGAATGTTACCAGTAAATTCTGAACACTTTGAAATGTAGGAAACAACTTTTAAATTTCAAAAAAGCAGAAAAAATAAGGTGAAAAAATTAATGCAAACAATTGAGTGAAAAAGCGAAGAATTAAACAAAAAAACGGTGTCAAATGCAGTATACAAGATGTAGTTCTCACTTTGATTCAAAATAATTTTTACCATAAATTTATAAATGTCTGAAAGTGTAGGAAAAAAGTTTAAAATGTGAAAAAAGAATGAAAATTGAGGTCTAAAAATTTAAGTGAAAAAATGGGTGTAATTGAATTGGGGCGCCGACTCCCGCCCTTTAGGCGGACGACTCCCAATTTTTTTAATAAAAAAAAATAAAAAATATTTGGCTGAATTGGTATGACGACTCCCGCCCTAAAGGCGGACGACTCCCATTTTTTTAATAAAAAAAATTAAAAAATCGCCATTGAAATTAGGACGACGACTCCCCTTTTTTTGGGGGGAATTGGAAGAACGACTCCCGTCCGACGACCTCCCGACCAAAACAGGAGTCGTCGACTAATTTTTAGGAGTCGTTTTTCCAAGCCCCAATATATATTTATATTTTAGCACAGTATTGATATATACATGTAATCTATATTGATACATATATAGAGTGTGCTCTAGCACTAAAATTTAAAGTTTACCACACACAACACAGTTTCCAAACAGGGCCTCAATTACTGCTTCCAATATGTCTGAAATACATAATTATCAACTGTATCATTCCATCCTTGACACACTTTTAACAGTGAAATTTGGATTCATATGTAGAAAGCTGTGGGGACAAACCTGGTGCAACCAAGCTGCATAGGTAAGCCTTTTCGGCCTATTTACAAGTTTTGACTTGAAATATTCTTTCTCACCTTTCCCTAGAAGAAGGCACATTATATTTCCTGACTCACCTTGAAGATAGAAAAACCAGAAGTTTGATCTGATTAGATCAGATAATTGAAGAAATTCCCACAAGATTCTTTCTCCTAACAAATACTTTTTCCATAAAAAGGTATGAAATTCCAATCACTATATGTGTTGGTCAGAAAATCACAGATAAAATCTTTGATATTGCACTGAAATTTTAATTCTGCTTTGTCTTCAGTCAATTCAAACAATAAAAGAAACATAATGCAGATTTTGAAGATTTCACTTTTACTTCTTCCCATTGTGGTTGGGAACATCATGCCAGATTTTGAGTTGATTTTGGTGCATACAGTAGATTGTCAAAAAGCCAATGTAGATGTAAGAAACTTGGATGAAGGAATCTGTCCCTCAGATAATTGTGGAGCTAAATTCTACCAAAGAGTTGTGGCTTATTGCCACAATTGCAAAGATGAAGAAGAGGTTAACCCCACAGCGTGCTTCCAGCATGGGTATGTATTTCAATTTTTCAAATCCCAAAATTAATAAAGTAATTGTGGTTTCAAAATTAAACTGACTTGAATTTATATTCTGGCAGTGGGAGGGTGAAATTTATAAATGACAAGACAAGGAGAAATCAATCCCAAAGGCAGTTTAGAGTTTCTACTACCTAAATTCAAGATTTTGCTTGGTTTCGGATATTTATTTATGTTCTTGCCAGCAAATAAAAGTTCAAGATAGAATCAGAATAGCTATTCAATGAAAGCAAGATTGATGTGAAGTCCTCCATTATTCAAGCCAAGAAAGTTCAAGTTCTAGATCATGTTCTTTTTTAAATGCATTAAAACATTGGAGGACTTCCCATTGGTTCTGTAGCCCTTACAAAACCAGATCTGAAGCCCCTTGAATCAGATTTCCCTGCAAAATCTGACTTCAGTGGCTTCAAATCTGATTCTGTAGAGATAATGACGGGAAGTCCTCCATTCATCAAATTTCATACCCTTATTCAGTGGTGGGCCATGGCCAATGACACCATGTCCAAAGATGACATTTGTTGGCACTATGTCCAAAGATGACATTTATTGGCCAATATTTTTTGTGACTGACTATATACATTGTGTCACACAAATGCTCGTCCAAAAATGAGTGCAGAGTTCTCCACTCCAAAAGTTACGCCCAAGAATGAAAATTGCTTAGCTGCACATCCCAAAAACAATGGGTGGACAGATGTGCAATCATTATTCATCATTATTATCTGCTACAGACAGTGCATGCCACTTTGGTGTTGTGCTAGAGGACAAGGCGAGGTAACCAATCACCTTCAATTTTGCGCTGTTATCTGATCGACGGCTTAAGTAAAACAGAAAAACGGGTGGATAACCTTTTTGTTTGTTAAAACTTTGAAAAGAGTCGGGTTGTTTGCTGTATTCAGGTACATCCGCATTCAGATACACAACTAGCAAATATAATCTAGCAATTTATTATTGCAAGGGAACAAGACAAAAATACATAACACTTCTTTACATGCCCAACTGACGCGGTAGATCAGTTGTACTACTTTAATCTAAGATGAGGGTTTACAAATCATCTCAGTCATGGCCCGAATGGAGGTTCCCGAATACCCCACCCAATTGTGACCACCGCGCTGAGCGTCAAGAAAAATAACCTGACTGCCACTACGGATTCGCTTAAACTGGTGAAGTTTTCCAAAACTAGATACTTTATGAGTTGTAACCACAGGCTTGAAACGATCATCAGATGATGGGGGGATCGGCGTCGGAGAAAGATGCGATTGTTTGTGGGGCGAGGGAAGAAGAATTGGGAGATCTGCTCTATTTTCTATGGTCACGTTGGTGGAGTGATGCTCATGAATGTATTCAAACAAGGATTTTGAGTGGGATGGATGGACATCTATGTCGTCCTGTCAATCCAACCAGAATTGATCCATAGTCAGAGTAATACTCGTCGCTTCTGCTGCGATCTTGGGGAGATGGACAACTCGAATGACTTACTTGTGCGTGGATCAACATGATATTTGTAGTTATTGATGGGATTATGGCCTTTGTATTGAAGTGAGTAGTTAGAAACGTATCCAAGAGCCAAGCTGGTTGGGTGATGTGTAAATGGTGCCAGAGGTATATCAACACGATTGTTCAGATTCAAAGAACAACGAAGTTGAAGGTAATATTTCGGGACTGACATTGTGCTTTCGGGAAAACGGAGAGTGGCTGTAAAATTGGGATGAACTTGAATAAAGAGTAAGTCTCTTTAGAAGTGAAAAGTTAAGGTATCAGTTCATTTCCAAGAAAAAAAAAATCGAAACCTGATCAAATTAGGCACTATGTGGGGACTGACTCAATAGTTCCGGGATGCTTGTAAACGGTGCGATTAAACATAGCGAGTTCGGTGTAACGTTCTCCTCGGTAATTAGACGATGGGCTAGTGCGGCAGAGACGCCAGTACCGAGACTCTGACCGATGATGCTGATGTTTCTAGGATTCGCCCCAGACCCCACCATGTAATCCCAGACGGTACGCGCATCCTTGATTAGACCTTCTTCAGATGGAGGGAAAAGACTTGAAGGCGATGAATCGGCAAAACCACTGTTTTCATGCCAAAAGGGGTGAGTGTCTTGTTTTGAGTAGGTGAATTGTCTTGTCAGAAGAAGGAAAATAGATGAACCGATAATCGTAGATCACAAAATTGAGTCCTTCATCGCAAGCACCGTAAGTTGTTGCCGAAAAGGCACGCAATATGGAGGCCCGAGAACTTTGGGCACGCGAGGCAGCGTTGCCATGCGAGTAAAGAACTGATTTATGGGTTCTGATAAGATAAACAGGTAAGTCAAATGACTCCAAGTGAACCGGGGTTTGACTTTTGAGATTTGATTCTTCTTACCTTAAGGCGTTTTCGAAAACCGACAATGGGATTGCTTCGGTGTCAGACTGAAGCAACGAGCCGGAATAGTTCTCGGATTGCTGGAAATGCCGTACGTAGACAGCCTCAGGCAGCGCATGCCAGACGCCTTAAATTTTGCAACCACATGAACAAAAGTGTCCTATAAGTAAGCCGATTTGACCAGGGGAAGCGATGAAAACTTGGGGTGTTGTCTGCAGTACCGATCTTAGCCCCATCAGGTGTCGTAAGCTGAAAGTTGCGAACCTGGCCAGGTGGGATGCCATAAAATTCAGGAGCATCGAAATTTGCCTGTGTGCCACAATGTCAAGTGTGCCATGTCTTCAGCAAACTGAGGGAAAACGGAACAAGGGATGAACTCGATCTTACCTGGACCGGTATACGAACCCAATGGAGGTATATTGCGCTATGGGTGATTAAGAGGAGAATGAAATGACGAATGTTTTGATTATTCAAATCAGGTTATCAACACTCGCCGAACGCTCGGTCACTGACCCTCTTTGGATGTACGGTATTCCGAGACAGAGGATGAATACCACGTATGCCACTGGTATCGCAGGGTTGATCGCAATCAGCCTTCAAAGCTAGATGGACAGTGACATTGATTTTCTGATTGACTTTACCTGGCAAGCACAACAACCAACGATGACAGTTGTAGAGGAAGCCCATCTTGTTGGTTACGATTTCGGTTTCCTCAAGTCCTTCAAAGATTCAATAAACACTGGATCAGTTCCACGGTATACAAGATTGGAGCTCAGTTGTACTTACCCTTGGGGTTAGATTCTTAGACCTGGAGTCGCCGTACTGCGGTCATGAGCTAACACGATCGGGTCCTAATAAAAGTTTTGGAAAGCAGGAGGTTGAAGATAAAATCCGCACGATTTCAAGGCTCTAGCTCAACTATGCACACGGAAAATCCCTGCCCTACATCGTCCGAAACTCTATGTCGCCTTACCGGCACTCCTCTGCTACTTCCATTTTGACTGATCACCCCTTTTCCTTTACTACAATCCACTTCCGCTCGACACTGATGCATCCCCTGCCCCCTTTGCTTGGTTTTCCGCTTTCAACACCAGTGCTTATCTTCACATCGGTCCAACTTCAACCTATGACACACTTATCATGAACACATCACAACTAGTCAACAGTTCTCACTATAGAATTCGGGTTGGTGTCTT